ATATATATATGTATATGAATTGTATATTGTATATTGTATATTGTATACTGTATATTGTATATATATATCCATGTCCATGTCCAGGTCCATGTCCATGCCCATGTCCATATTATCAAGCACTGTTCCGTGTCTACATACACATACAACTAGGCATTCGAATTTGAGGAGGAAAGCTCGCTCGAGCAGCTGCAAGCGTGTGGTGTGCTGGAGACTGTGCGCATCAGTGCCGCGGGTTATCCGTCGCGCTGGGAGTTCTCAGAGTTCAGAGACAGATACCAACGCCTTCTGAGCAAGAAGCAACTGGGAAATGGAAATTTGGAAGATACATGTAAAACGATTGTGCAAACAGGTGCGTTTGAGTCCTGTCGTGATGGATCCGGGTGGGTGTGTATACTTGGTAGGGGTGAGGTCGTTCTGTTTTGTTGTAACAACTGGGTATCAACGGGTATGTATAAAAACCCTAAAACCTTACTATTCTGGAAAGGACCAACGCCTACTGAGCGATCGAGAATCTGGCCCAGGGGTTCTGAAGAAAAAGTTACAAAATTGATTCGTAAATGTGGCCAGATAGATACGTACTTTATCTTCTCACTGGCGTTTGGCTACTTTGATAAATTCCGATTCCGATTATCATTCTGACCTGCCAGCGATTCCTATATACACCTAGTCTGTAGCCTAGTACGTCTGGATATACATCATATTCAAAAGAAATGACCAGCCAAACAATACGCCGTATTCAGTATCCTCAGCCTTGTTATACATCGCGTTTAACGTAATAGACCCGTCTCCTACTTCCTCACACACAGTGATTGGCGATCCCGATAAATACCAGTATGGAAAGACAAAGATCTACTTCCGCGCAGGTCAGGTGGCGCATTTGGAGAAGCTCAGAGAAACCAAGCGACTCGCAGCAGCCATTATGTTGCAGAAGATAGTAAGTCCACTCTTCTCTGGGGTGTTCGTTTTTATTGAGAATGATACATGCATGGTTTTGCTGGTGTGTGGTTGTGATTGTATGCTAGCCTATGTTGATGGACGTCTGTATCTGCATATGCATATATGTATATATGCTTATGCAAATTCATGTCTACATCGAATTTTGATGAGCAGTGTGCCGTATTGTGTTGTGTTTTTATTTTGCTCCTCTCTGCGGGCCTTCTCTGAAAATTTTATGTGCGTATGTACAATATATATTTATATATATATATATTT